TACTCCAGCACTGCTGGGTATCTAAAGCTGCTGCAAGAATGATTTGTTTGGCTGATCTGATCATTGAACCCATCTTCAAACCTTTTCATATTTTGTCCACCCCCAATTCAAACATGAAGTTGTGTGCTTTCGTCCAGCAGTGTCTGCAGTTTTTAGCTCCTAGATGCTCTTGACCTCTGTCTTTTATTCCAAGTCCTCAGCTGAAGCTGACACCTTTTTCAGTGTCCTTTTTCCATGCCTTCACTTATGTGGATCTTGACTGTAAAATTAACCTGGTTCTTCTTCAGATACTTGTCTAGTGCCTATGCCTGTACCCGTGTGAAAACACTCATCGCAATTGGTCAAGTCTTTAAACTAGAGTTTGGGTGTCCAGCTATGTGGTGAGGTACACCCATGCTGCAGAGGGGACTCGCCATCGGTCGCAGGAGTGCCTTTTGGTGCATGCTCTCTTGCCTGTACAGTTCCCTGGGGCTACGTGTCAGCTTTCACAGGTGCTCATGTAGCAGGCTCAGACAGCGCTGGCAGGGCTCTCTCTGTGCTGCAGCCTGTGCTGTCCTGAGCCCTGAGCGCTTTCCTGACTCCCACCTGTATCACCGCCCACTGCTGTTTATCCTTAAACTTGTTTCTTCAAGTGAAGATGTCCATGTTTCATATGTGTAAGCAATCATAAATATAGGAAAATAATTCAATGCCTTCCAGAATTGCATTTAGCCTACCACATGATAAAATAAACAAAGACTGCTTCTCTCTCTTCGAGACTTCTCTGCCCCTGCTCCTTTTTTCATTCCTGTCCTTGTTTTGAGAATGAAGAATTCATCTTTCTTAGCACCATGAGAGCAACATGGATTTTCATAATCTAAGTAATAGTCTTTTTTCTTTTTTCTTTTTTTTTTTTTTTGTCTAGAGGCAAACATTACGCTAGTTTAAAAATCTCCCAGTATTATTTTTCAAAGTCAATTTTGTAGTCCTCTTTAAAGCAAAAGCAGTATTCTGTGTTTGTACAGGGTTCAGCACAGACCTTAATCTTTTCTGGACTCAAATTGTACCACAGTATAAAGGATAACATCTGCTCTTTGCAGCTAAAAAGGAAACTAACATCAACTAATGTCATCCATAGCCTTTTGTCTTACCAAGAACTTTGTTCTATAGAAGCCCTGGGTTGGCTGCCACCCTCTGACCCTTTGGAGGTTAGACATCCCAGATTGCGCTCTGTTACATGTAGGGTATCGGAAGTAGAGCTGTGCTTTCAGAGTTTGCTTCCCAGATCTAGAACTGATGGAGTGCAACAGCTACACACATCAGGATCTGTGTTTTTCACAGGGGACAGTCCAGTCTCTCCCACTGCCTGCCCTTGGGACCGGTGACTCGGTCTCTGGACTGGGATGCCCCATGCTGGATTCTCTCGTTGGATGTGCCAGAGTCAGCTGCTCATCCTCGTGTCTCAGCCAGCTTCTCCAGAGCCGACTGCTAGTCCCATTCCTTCAACCATTTGTGAACTGGAGAGTCTGTTCATGCAACACGAACACACGGTGGAATCACTTAAGTGCCTCTACAGGGTACTGAGCTAGGGAAGAAAATACAACATTGTGTATTGGTAACCAAACACAGCCTGTTTGCATATACTGTACTGACTGGATGGAGAGGGCCACTTGATTTTCTGAACCTGTTTTTCCTACCACACCTTTGAAATCAAGATGTGTCCTACCTTACGTTTCCTGACACTTGATGTACTTACATTTGTAAAATGTTTAGAGATCCTTGTATGAAATTTGTAAACCTATGAAATTACTGGAAAATAATTGTTTGCTGGGGATAGAACCTGTGTGTTACCGCTTTGATGATAAATGTACCCACTGGAATCTGTTGTGTGGCAGAGTTTTTTACTGTATCTTCAAGCAACCGAAACAATAGCTGAGACATTTTTGATATACGGGTACTCCAAAGACAAATACTATGCTGACTAAAAGTTTCACTGTATTGCCTGTCACAATCCAGCTTGGAATGCATAAATATCTTCAGTGATACGTTAAACTTGCAGCCAAAATAGGATGGCTTTTATCAAGTGCTGGCACTCTAAAAGAAGATTATTTGAGAAGTTAGTGTTAGGATCCAGACTTAAGATTTTTGCTTAAGATAATCAAGCGGTGGAGCTGGGTTCATTTTTGTGGTGCCTTGACACAATCTTGCATCGAGTTCATTTGAGATTTAGGTAGGATGGAGAGAGATACAGACTGAGTCTGTGGGAAGCTATCAGCCTAAGTGACTAAATTTATTGTTCACCACAATTCCTGAATACTTAATGATATGCTGATCTTCCAATATACAGCGACCTGTTTGAATACAAATGCTACTTATTTTGGTGTATTTACCAGATCATGCCATTCCTGTGCTATCATGTGGAAGAGCTGGCATATCATTTCCAGTGATTAAAGGAACACATCGAGCAGGTTAAAAACTCATAAACATTATCCAGTGAAAAATACTGAAATCTCCTTTTTAAATCCACAAATAAATGCATATAGATACATTTCATAGTTACTTTAGCCTAGAAGTTCATACTGTTGGTCTGAGCAAAATGAAGTACAGTTTGTTGGGGGTTTTTTGGAGGGGAGAATATTTTGTGAGAGAACATAGAAGAATTAAAAGTTGCTTTTACAAAATAAGTGTGAAAATAATTTGTGTTGAAGGATATGAATCCAAGGAGCATAAAAGATGTAATGAGAGCCTATGAGCCTCCAGAAAACCTTACAAAATAGCTTCCAGAAAGCATAGGGCACCAAAGGATTACTAACAGGAAACTAGGGGCGCTGTTTTGAAGCTCAGTAGCTCCATTTGTCATTCCCTTCAAATGCAAATCTTCCATAAAGGTGTTTTAATTGTTGATTTACCCAAAAAGAGAAATTTCTGGGTAACTTATGCCTGACCAAATATACCATCTGAAAGTCAGCTTTACATCCCTATTTAGGGATGTAAACAACAAGATGCCGTTGTCTGCAACAATTTAGAAATCACTACTTGCTTGAGAGTTCTGCATATAGTAAGATCCTCTAGCATCAGGCTGCCGCTTGTTTACTTCTCTAGATAATAGAATATTCCTTTCACATGGAGATATCAACCCCTTGACAGTAAACAAATGGTAAAGGTAAGGGAATCTAAGTCATTATGTGCTAGAAACTAAAGAGACTAGGCTATACAACTAGTCACCATTAGCAAGCTGAAGTAAAGAAAATACTAATTTTTAAAATGCTGTGATCTCCAAGAGCTTAGAAGTGATGTATCGTTTAAGCTTATAATGCAAAACCAGGGTATAACCAATGGATGCAGATGAATATAAATTGATTTGGTGGCAGATGCACATCTGCAGCTGAGACCAAACAATCAATTAAAAAAAAAGAAGCTGGTAATTCTTCACACTTCAGAAAGGCTATCCAAAAAGACTGTTAAGGCACCTGAGAATTTTCACACAGAAAAAAATGTACTACTGTGCCAACATTATGAAGCACTGTTTTGTTCATTGAGGACCTAAATATGAGGGTGAATGCAGAAAGAACTCCAAATTTTATTAGAAGAAATGAGAGAATATTGTGAGGAACTCCAGAAAGACTAGACTGAACTGTGTGAACGAGCATCACCAGGGTACCTGGAACTCCAAATCGACAGGCTGGGAAGGAACAGAGAAACGGCTCATTCACTTTTTTAAATTCAAGGTTAGCTGTAACAGCTCAGGAGAAATACCTGGCTGTGGCTTATTGTATATTGTGGACAGTTTAATAAACACTTCCACTGTTAACCGAACTGAACAGAAAGTTAGCATGTACAGAAATGGGCAATTGTGCTGGAATGATCGTAATGCCCTTCTACGCTTTCTTGCCCTCAACACTGTGTTTATTTCTCATCCCCTCGTCAAAATAAAACACAAAAATAATTTGAGAGGCAGAGAAAAAAAAGTCATGAAAGAGGCTTCCTTTGGATTTGAAAAACGTCGGAACAGCTAGTGTTGTACTGAGAAAGTGAAATGGGCGGACTACTCGTGTCACCACTTGGCACACCCCAGTTTCACACAAACCCCGAAAAAGACAGGCATTCTCAGGGAAAGAAAAGTTTGCCGTGTTAGGACTTTTTACCTCCTTCCCAATCTTACTCACATACTTATTCATTACATTAGCTTTGCATATATTAGCATGTCTCCTTTGTAATATTAACAATTCTGAAAAACTTCTTGCTGTGTAGCCTGATTAGCATGCTAATTAGGCCTCTCCTGTCAAGCACTTCTAGAGTGGTAAGTTATTTCTGGGTATAAGCAGTGAAACGGTATTTAGTTAAGTAGCCAGTTTAAAAGTTTATCTTCAGATCTGGATGTTCTTTTAAGAACTAAATGTAACGTGTTATTCTACTCCAACTTGGATATGATCTCACCCTGGAACCATACAGGAAAACTGTGCTAGCTGAGCAAAACTTTGATTTCGATAACATTGTGTATATGTTACGTATGTACAAACATAAGAATTCAGAGTTTTTCTGGATTATACACACCCAATACACACACCCAGCCTAGGAGAGCTTTTTTGGTGACATCCCCTTCTATCTGTCTATCTGTATGCCACTAAATCACTGAGATATTTTTCTTTGAGAGGAAAATAATGGCACTGAGTTTGTAATTTCTTGGACATGGCTTATGAATATTTTTTTTTTGCCTTACCTCAAACATATTCCAAAATGTTACACAGCAAGTGTTGCTATTTGGAAATAGCAGGCTCTTTTTTGATCCTTTTTAAGGGGAGAATACACCAGAGCGAATGATGCACATTCAGCTAATCCAGTACCACAAAAAAAAAAAAATCTTGGAGAGTAACACAGGGAATTGTGTTTGCGATATAAATGAGCATTTTGAAAATGGGTAACATATTTAACTACTGTGAATAATCTGTGCATAACAGTTGGAATTATAAAAGCCCCGTAATATGTCTATATTCCTAATGTGTTTCTTTGCTGTTTTGCAGGCAGACCAGTAATGATTGTAGTTGAATACATGGAGAATGGATCCCTTGACTCCTTTCTGCGGGTGAGGTGCCATTTTCTGATGACATTTGAATAAGACGCCATTCTAGGTTAAGATTTTAAATTGTTTATCATAAATTAATTTCTACATAATGTTATTCATCGATTTTTAGTGAAGAATAGAAGCACTTTCCCCAGGGCACATTTCTAAGGTACAGTGATACATTAGAGCATAGCTGGAAAAAAAGGAGATATCAACTTAAGAATATAATTGATTTCTTCTACAAAAGTAGTTCCCATATTTAGCAAAATGTATTTCAAATAGCGTTTTTGTGAAGGAAAAGATAAATTGAAGCACACATGCCTAGCCTTATGGAAGTGGTTCATTTTTCTCAATCACCTTCAAAAATACTTTGTTATGATTTTTTTTCATTGGTGAACTGTAGAATAGACTCAGTAATTGATTTATAATTATTTATGGTTACTTGCATTTAACAAATTGAATTAGAAAACAGTTCATGGGTGAAATATCCTGGCATTAATTAACCCCCAAAGGTCACTAATAAATATTAAAGAAGGGCTACAGAAAGCATGAATAATATGTTGGCATGATTGGTTTTAATTTTTCTTAGAAAAGTAGAAGGAAAAGGTGACCCCCTAAGCTAAACTTATCCTAAAATGGTTTCTTTGTTAACAGAACCCCTGGAAATGCTCTGGAGGCCCACTGACATAAGACCCTGTGTGAATAATTTGATTGTCAAGTATTTCAAATCTGTCTCAAAAAGTAAATGTCAATCCGTACTAGCCCTTGCAATGCCTTGCCATTGCCATCTTGCAGAATGGTAAAGCTGGGGTTGTAGGCAAGGTCAGGGCGGGGGATCAGGGGACTATGGTTTTGTGAACTTGTTTGAAAGGGTATCCCAAGTGCAAAGGAGAGGTGTTCAACAAGGAGCTGTGAAAATATTTGCAGGAAAATCTAGATGATGGTGATCAAGGATGCTGTGATGGCAGGAAGAAGGAACTGCTAAGAGAAAAGAGTGAATAAGCAGGAGGGAAAGAACAGCCAACACTTTAGAAAGAAGAATAAATCAGTGAGAGGGAGAGGAAGTCATACAGAGAGTACTTGTTTGACAGCAGGTCGAGAAAAGAGGTAGCCACAAGAGGAGAAGAACACCAGGAACAGAGGATACTACCCTGAGAACCCATCAGAGCCATTATCTTAGATATTTCTAGACATTGTTTCTCCCTTCCTTTTACTTTTGATTATTCCATTGTATTTTTTCTCTAGCATTTCCTGCTGTCCTCTTCATCAACTCTCCCAAATAATTTTTTATTTTCCTTTGTCAAGACACATGACAGACATCTGCTATGTTGTCAGAAACACACCAGCACCACAGTTTCTGGTGAGAATTTGCTATCTCTCAAAATCAAGTTATTTTTCTGGAGAGAGTTTGATATCATCAAGTTCTTCTTAGAAACTGGGTAGGTTTTAAAAATCACCCCCCTTGCGTTTCTGGTTCATCTCTCTATCCATCTGCAGCAGACAGACTGCTGTTCATTTGAGTACCTGGGGCTTCCCTGGTCTGTAATTTTTCAGCAGTGCCCCGGGAAGACTTGCCTGGGCCTGAAACTCTGCTCTGTGCGTGTGTGTGCGTGTGTGTGTGCAGAATTTCACAGAAGAGAATAAAACCAAATACTGAAATAATTCATGAGAGAGAATTACCTTTCTCTGAATTGCTCTAGTATGATATCTGTATTCCAATTATTCTTCACATGCATTTATTTATCAGAATGGTTACTACCTAGTAGGATACTTTAACAGAAACTGACATCAGCAAAATTATGATGTTATTGTGAAGCAATACTTCTCACATTGCATCAGATATATTTGTAGGCAAAACTGCTGGCAGGAAATGTGAGCTAATCATTTCTGCAGCTGGTTTCCATGTATATTATTTTACAGTTTCAATTCACACTTCAGAAATGGTTTATTCTTCTAAAATGCTTTTTAAAAGGACTAATATTCAGCATTCCAAAGCACTGCAGATAAATCATCAGCATTTCTGTTAATAATTAGCAGAGCGAATGGCTGCAAAGTAACCTATTTAAAAAGAAATCCAGCTGCTTCATTAATAATATTGTTTCCTGCAGATAGAAGTCTACACTTTTAAAAGCTTTTGTGAAGATACAAAGAAGCAGAGAGGGTTTATCTTTAGCAATCCTAATGAAAGGTGTGCAGTGAATATAACAATTCTTATGTGGTGAGATTTGCAAGGGCTTATAAAATAGTCTATCTTTCTTACTATTTAAAAGAATCACTTGTTACAGTGCAAAGTGTTTTTACCAGGAGGGGGGGGGAAATCCATTTCTCACCATAAAAAATATTTCCCCCCACACCGCAACCTGCAAAAATTAACCATCACATCCCTCCAACCTGTCCTTCTCCAAAAGCCTGCAAAAATGGGTCAATCTTACAATTTCAGAGTGAAACTCTGTGATGAACCATGTGAGGGCATTCCAGAAGACTCCTCATAGAAGACATTTGCCATCAGCCTCCTCACGGCCTTGGTGTGATGTTAGCTTTCATGCCAGTACAAGTTGTGCGAGGAATCATAAACTCCAAGTAAAACTCCCCTTGACCCCTACACCCAAAAATCTTAATAGCCTTTACTTCCTTACTTTACAGGTAGGAAAATAAAGCACCGGGATGTTAAGTGATCTGCACAGTATCGTGCACAAAGTGCATAGCAGAGAGTAGAAATGAAATCAATTCCCCTGAATTCCAGGCCAGCAGCTTACACTCATCCTTCATCTTTCTTAGTGCTCTATTTTGGTTGCAGTTATGTGGCCAAGTCCCCAAACCAGTGCCTCACTTTCTGCTATTTGTATGAATTGAACAGCAAGCTCAGCTAGATTGTCTTCCCCACCCTACAAAATATCCTGTATGCTGGCTGCTAACTTTGAGCTTTTGGGAAAAAAATTTGGCACGCACTTGCAATACGAAGATGCTTCAGATATATTCTTAGTGGAAAAGCTCAGCTAATTAGAACCAATTCTGTAAGATTATGGTAATTAATTACAGCAGTTGTGTACCACCAGACATCCTAAATTGCTGGAGACACTTGACACTAGATTTTTCTCAGAAATCCTGCATTATTTTTGCAATTATATAAATCTCATTTCAATAAGATGAAATCAGTTATCTTTTTTTCTCATAGAAGATTGATGCGTGTAAGCTAATCGTCCCACAAAAGTATACCTGAAATTTGCTGTCAAGGAAATGCTCATTTGACCAGAAATAAGGTACACGTGACTTCACTTCTGGTAACACTTGGAGAGATTTCTCTGAAAAAGGATGTGAGCTTCCAGCTTAGTATTTCCTCAGGGGCTAGAGGCTCTTCTTTCAGCATTGCTCCAGCAGCTGCCAGATAGGACTAATCTGTGCTTGGGAAGAAAGTGGCTAATACTTCAGCTTGGGAACTGAGGAGATCCAGGTACAATTTCCTATTACCAACTTCACACACAGACTTTGGATGGGACACATTGTCTTTACGTTCCAGTCACCTGCCTGTGTAATGGAGATCTTAGCAGTCACATATTCTGCAAACATATGAGGAAAATAATAAACACACGAAGAGTTGAAAGGGCAGCTATCTGTATCGATAGAAAGATGTATCAGTAATTAGGATAGTTGCAGTCAGTATATGTTTGCTCAGGCTTGTTGATACAGAGTACGGAAGATACAACAAGAAAGACAACCAAGAGAGACATATAATAGAAAAAAAAAAGCCTAGAACCCCAAAACCTTTTTAACAAGCAGTTTGCCACTGCTGTGGGTTTGAGATGCCTGTTCTCTGAGCATGGCCATGACTAAGTAAACCACATGGGTATTGAATCACTGCTTGGTGATCTTGCAGTCTTCATACATGACATAAGTGCAATCCCATTTTGCTGAGGGAAAACGGAGATGAGTGCCACATTGCACCCAAGCCCATGCAGCAGTTTGGAGGGTGATACAGTAATACAACCCAGGTCCGAATCCCAGTTTCACTCCCTAGCTGTTTGTGCTGGACACCACAATATTTCCCTCAGTCTTGCCTGTCAGATGATTGCAATAATTCCTATAAAAGTCCTTTGCCCGAGGTTGGTCCTTTCACCCTCCCTGGCTCAGCCCACTCTCTTAAGTAGATGCCTCAAAGACTTATGGAGCTATTTAGAGTTAAATCTCATCTACTGTTTTCACAGCTCCATCTAAAGGGTCATTCTTGGCTAAAGTAATTGGATTTAGCATCACATAGACAGGAACAGGGTGATTAGGAGGCTAGGTGGCTTGTGTGTTTGGGGGGCTACTGCTTCTTGGGTCCAGTTGCACAGAATGCTACCTGGAGAGCATCTGCTGGCTGTGATCTGCGCTCACCCTCCTCGTGCATCGTTCAGTATGGGCATGGATTTAAGCCACAGAAAAGGAACACAGTTAGAAGTTGACTTTTGGGGATGTTTGTTTGTGGTTGGCTACCTAGAATCATGTGAAATGAACCAAAAAACTGTCACCAGAGTACTTTAACTTCTTTCAGTATTCTTCTGCAGCAGCAGGCTACCAGACTACTGTCAGTGTTTGTTTTGTTCCTGCTCGGTGTCCAAGGTGTGCTAACCGATAGTCGGCGCAGCGAGGCAAGAACCAGGGACACAGCAATATTAATCAGATGAGCACTCATGGTATTGCGGCAGGTTCTGTAGCAGGCCTGATACTAAAATAATCTATCAATCAGCTGTATCCACTGCACTGTATTTGCTCACCCTTCTTTATTAGGAAGGGAATGTGCACTCTCCAGGGATCAATGTGGGAAAGAGAGCTCCTCAGGGGTTGCAGCATTTTCCCTTAACTGTACCCTGAAGAGATAGATGTTTAGGTTTGAAAGATGCTCCAGTCTTGCCCAGTTTTGTGAGACTCTGAGGTGTAGAAGGAAGGGATTCACCTACCGACGGTAATCACAGGGTCATCTTGCTTTCTTCATTGTTACTATTTGCAATAGTAATACTCCTCTTCCTACCTAAAAATTTGTG